GGTGCTCTGGGGAGAGCCACAGGTGACTGAGCTAACTTGCAATGACCTGCTCCTCTCACCCCCAGGAGGAGCACTGGGAGAACATGAGAGCAAGCAAAGTCTTTGGCTTCTTAGAGATTATAATAAATATATGTTATCATCTCTCTGAGCTCAAATTACTGGAGAAAACATTCGAAAAGTAGCCTGAAAATACACCCAGAACACTTCCCAAGCTTCACACCACTGAAGAATACCTGCTGCTTGAAGGTTTATGCTCACTTTGCACAGAACAACAGTAACACAAAGTCTTTGCAATTTTTCTGAACATGAGAAATAGCTGCACATAACATACTGTGTGTCCATCCCCTTTTACCCACACACACTTATGGTGACTACTTTAGTATTATGAGGAAATGTTGGTGTCTGTCCAAGCTTGGAGCATCTCTGACACGTGTGCAGCAATCTCTGATCTGTACCAGACACCACTTGCAGCACAGTGGCTCTGGTGCCTCCAGTTGTGTTCAGTTCCCCAGAGGCAGCTGCAGTCACCTCTGAGGTGCTGCCAGTCCAGCTCCCCTCACTGATCTCTTGGCATCCCTTGGTTTAAACTACCAGAGGAGCAAAGTCCTGGGCTGAGCACTCTTAATATGAGACCATGGCAATTCCAGTGACACTGGGGGAAGCTGGACAGAGGTAGGAGCAGCCTGCAAGTAACTTAAGCATTTTCAAGAAAGGTTCAAGACCTTTCCCAAAAGAGCTGGCCCCACAGGTGCTCAGAGAACACTCCTGCCTCACCAGACAGCACAGAAATACCCAAACCTAGGTTTTCACAACAAGGTTTCACAACCTAGGTTTTCTTGGGTGTTTTTCATAACACCCAAGAACAGAAGAGCATTAATTGGCTGTTTTTCCCAGAAGCAAGAAATAGATATCCAAATCAGCTGAAAGGAAATCATTACTGTCACACAACAGAAGTGTTGGACTATGTGAGTGCTCCCCATGGAGCTCACAGTCACCTTGCTGAGGTGAGTCCACGTGGGGCTGAGTCCCTGGGTGAAAAAAGAATAGAAATGAAAAGCACAAGACTCACCAGCCGTGACCATGCTGTGTTGCAGCAGTGCTGGAGCCTCCTGTCCACCTCAGACCTTCACATGGCAGCTCCAGCCATGGCTGCTGGGCACACAGGAGCCAGGCTGGCCCAGGTGAGCCCTCCTCACCCAGGGGCAGGGACTTCACTGGAAATGAGGCAGGACTGATTAAAAATCACCTGCCTTACACAAAATCCCCTCTCTGCAAAGCCTGTGAGGACCATCCATAGTCACTGAGGGCTCAGGTTTTAGCCTTCCCAAAGGCTCCTTCAGGGCAGGTGCCTGTTTCATCCTCCAGAACCTCACACCAGAGTGATTCTCCCCTGCTCTGCAGTCTGCTAGTAATTGTTATTCAGCTGGAGTTTGTTTCCTTTAAATCTGGGATTTGAGCATCCCCTCTCTGGCTCCTCAGGCTCTCCATGCCCCGTTCTGGCTGTGCTCCCTGTGGTGTGAGGGCAGCCGGGGCCATGTCCCCAGGCCCGGTGTCCCTGAGGTGTGGCGCGTTCCTGAGGCCACGGCTCCTCCCAGGGATGGACAGTCCCTTCTCACGAAACTCACTGAGCTCAGCACACAGGGGTGTTTCTGCTTCTGCCAGAGACAGGATTCCACATGTATCAGCTTCAGGGAAAACATGAAATAAATATTGAGAACAGAGCACCTGGTGCTCTGAGCCTGCAGCACCCAGAGGCCGGCTCACCCAGGCAGAGGCACAAACTCACCCAAAATGGTTTCTTACATTGAAGCTCCTTCAGGAGGGGTGTGGATTTTGACAGGGGTGACCTGTGCTGCCTGCAGGTGGGTCCTGAAGGTGCTCCTGGGGCTGCCAGACCCCGCTGTGGGGGTGAGGTGCCCTCATGGAGGAGCTCGGGCAGGGCGCGCTCTGCCCTGCAGCAGCCACGGGCGTCTGGCTCTGAGAGGTGACCAGACAAGGCCGTGGAGTCACTTCACACGTGATAAAGTGTACAGCACGTGTCACAGTTGAGATGGCCACAATTCTCAGAGCATCCCTGTACAATCCCAGAAGGCTTCCACCCATACACAGCAACACCACTCCAGGAGGGTGCAAGTGTCTGCCCTTCTTGTTCTTCAGCCCACCCTTTCATACCCCTTATGTGGATGCACTGTGCCCATGTGCCCTCTGTTCCCTCTCTTGGTGATTGGTCAGCACACGCTCCATGGCTCGTTGCTGTCAGTGCTGCTCACCTGCTTCTCACAGCTGTGCCCACTGGGGATGGGGCTGGGCCACAACCCCATCCAGTGACCCCAAACTGTGCCACATACAGCCCTGTTCCCAGTCACCACAGACTGTGCCACACACAGCCCCACCCCAATCATCAAAAACTGTGTGCCTGCACAGCCCCATCCAATGACCCCAAATTGTGCCACACACAGCCCCACCCCAATGACCCCAAACTGTGCCACACACAGCCCACCCCAGTGACCCCAAACTGTGTGCTACAAACAGAACCCCACCCCAATGACCCCAAACTGTGCCACACACAGCCTCATCCCACTGACCCCAAACTGGGTGCCTGCAGTGAAGTCCTGCAGAAAGGGGGTCTGGAGCCCCAAATCCCCCCGGGCCAGCTCAGCAGAGCCCGGGCTGAGCTCCAGCCCCTGTGACCCAGCACTGCCAGGGCACCTGGAGCCCTTCACCTTCAGCAGCTGCCCAGGCCCAGCCACCCCACAGCAGCTCGGGAAGGAAGTGAAAGTTGTTTCTGGGCACAGAGAGGCTTCTCCTGAACAGCAGAAATAACAAATAGTCCCGAAATGTCCCCAGACCTTGATAGCAACATTGTCAGAGGTTTTTGCCACTTCTCGTTTGATTGTGACTCTCCCTGTCCTTGCTGTTTTCACTCTATCCCCACCTTCCTGAAACCCTGTTAGAAATTTATTTTTAACCAAAGTCCAAAGTCTTGTGACTGTGACGCAAAGTTTGGAAGTGTGGTCTGTATCTCTGAAAAGGCCAGAATAAACCCCTGCAATGCTCTCATGTGCACATATTCCTGTGTCTGTCTGCACCTTTGCCTTCTGCTGAAGGTAAAGCTGAGGGTGTGCTCAGAAAAACGAGCACTTACATGTATTTATCAAAGCCAGAAGGGAAATGGGGTTTAAATAATCAATCATCATACATATTGTATATAAATACAGAGCATTCACGCAGAATCAAAGAATATTCATATACATTTCCATTCTCATACTGTTCTAATTATTCTATTAGGCTTTTAATCTCCCAGTTTAAAGGGGCCTCTGAAATCTAATATACAGATTTGTGAGAATCTATTAATCTCGCATGTCAGGGCTATAATTAAGAATGGCTGAGAGAAGCATATGAGCAGCAGGTCAGGTGGACCTTTCATCTGCAGAGGAGCTCTCCAAGCAAGGCATTCTTCCCTGATTTATATTACAAAATGCACTTTATCTGTTTCAAACAAAACCTAGCTGGACTTGTGTAATTTCCAAGACATGCAGGGAGGAGTCAAAGGGTAACAGGAATTTAAAATACATGTTTAAAGCCTTTAGTTTCAGCATCATTCCTGTTCCAGTTGGGATTATTGCAGCTTCTGCTGCTGGAGTATCTGACCCAGAGGTCAGGAGAAAAGCCTTAGGTGATACAAAGCATTAAGAAGGGAGAGTGAGTTAGGCTGTAGGTGTTGCTGCACAAGAGCTCTTCTATCTAAGGTTTCTGTTGGTGTGAATTTGGTGCAGTAGTTGTGGTGATTCCTGTTGCCAAAGATGAGAGTTTTAATTAAAGTCCAGAGAGCTTAATTAACAAAGGGTGAGGAGTTGTTGGTCTGACAACGTATGACCACAGAGTTGATTTAGAAAGTATATTGGGTGGGGCTTACAAAACAAGGAAAAACTAGAATTAGGTGATTTTACTGGGGTTTTTTTGCACTGTGTTAACAATTACTTAATTTTTCCATATTTGATAAAATGTAGATCCCGTTACAGCATGACTTTATAATAATTCATTTCTATACCCGGCAGAGGAACAACTGCAGCAGTTTGCAGTGTGGTCCCTGCTCTGAGTGCCTCTTTGTGTCTGTAACTTCATCTCGGGCTTGGCAACATCTGCTGGGAGCAGGCGATGAGAATGCTCAGCGCCGCCAGAGCGCAGGCCAGGCAGCATCGGGAGCTCTGTCCGATCTGCTGGCTGCATTCTGACACGAAAGCCAGCAAATGCAGCCTCTGTGTGTGTGTCTGCCTGCCTAGGGGAGGGCTCCAATTACCTGAGATCCTCTGCAGATACCCAGTGCCTGGTGGGGGAGTCTCATTTAGTATGCGCAATAAAATCGCTGTGGCACCGATCATATGATTGGGAGAGTCAATCCTGAGGCAGCACTACTGAGAAGGGGAGGTGGAACCAAGACACTCCGCTCAGACAGCCGGGCTGTGAGCAGCACACGAATTGCACTCAGCAGGCAGGAGCAGAGCTGGGGGATCAGGCTGCTGGATGAAAATCACAGCAGAGCTTTGTTTCTGCCCAGCCTGCCCCTTGTCAGGATGCGCCGCTGGTGTGAGTAGGGAAAAGGAAACGCGCTGCTGTGTGTGATGAAAAGGTGAAGGCAGTGATAGAGGCAGAAGATCTCTGTGAAACTCCTTTGATAACCACCTTGAGAGTGAATTTTACCTCTGGAGAGTGCTGACTGTCTGGAAAGTCAGATGAAAAGGATGTGGATTCCAAGGAAGCATTTCACTGACAGCAGAGCAAACTAGAGGAGAACTTTTACCTGCATTCCTGGCACTTGGGAAAAATAAGAAAGAATTCTCTGCCAGGATTTTTTTTTTTTTTTTTTTTCCTTCTTCACGAGTCCTGGAGAGAGATTTTGTAGTCCCCTCCTGAGGAAAACACCAACCAGAAGTCAGAATTCTACAGACTTTCCAAAGAACAGGCATGGTTCAAAATGTGATTTTGGTGTTTTTCCGCAGGCGACTCAGCCAAAGACCCGCTGTTGAGGAGCTAGAAAGAAGGAATATACTGAAACGTGAGTACTTCTTTTTCCTAAAGTATTTTATGTATGTCTGTTGAAATTAGTGATTGCATGTCCAGAACATATTATTTTGAAATAGACAAATTAATTCACTGGGATAATTTTCTGTACCTAAAAGTTTTTTATTTTTCACAAAGACTTGCAATTTGAGGACAAAAAGAACTGTTCAGGTTCAGGCTTTCAAATAATTTTCATTCTGATTCCACTGTTACTGGTGTCCAAGAGGGGAATACAATCTGAGTGTCACAGTTCCCTGAGAATTGGAGTGACATTTTTCAAGATATGGATTTTCAGGGCAAGCACTGTCAATAGAGTGGCTGGGGGAAGCATCCTTGCAGAGATGTGATTCTGTCCAGATCTTTTTGCTCATGTCACTGGAGATCTTCCAAAGCCAAGTCACAGATCAGCCTGAGATACCAGAATTATTGGAGGGCCAGTCCCAGGCCTGTTACAGGCACTGTCACAGAGGAGTGTTCTCAGCAGCTCTCAAATTCACAAGGCAAAACTTGCAACTTTTTTCCTAAGTGTTTCCAAGGGATCAAACAAGTGATGGACATAATCCCTTCCCTTAAAACTGCTGAATTAGGGGAAGGTGAGAGCCAGCTTTGAAATTGTCTCCACTATGGATCTCAAAAGGAGAAATCCCTCTGCTATTGAGTCTCTTTAGCTCTGAAAGACAAAACCCAGAATGATGTGAACTATAGATTCTCATTAAACAAGCATAAAACTGTCACACAAGCAGTGCTGCCTACCTACACTGTTTGATTTGTATTTAATCATGAGATTGTAATTCACTAGGGAAAAAAGTCATCAGCATTGCATTACCTACAATTTTGTGTCTTGAAACTTTCTTAGTGATTTCTAGGGAAAAACCTTATGCTCTTGCCATTGAAGTTATTGGGGATTTTATTTCAGTTTTCACACAAAGGGGTTCCACAAGCAGCCTGTATTTAGCAGTGTTTTCTGTACAGTTCCAATGCACAGATCACACACAGTAAAATGAGCTCTATTTTGCATGTGCACAGCTTGAGGAGGAAAGGAAACCTCTTTGCAACATGGGTGGGTGAACTTGGCCAAACTTCATCTGTCATGTACCAGAGAGGCAGGAAAATTCAATAACCCAAGATCCTGAACTATATGGAGACAGATTTTTAAGAGTCAGTAACCAAGATCTCTGAAAATCTGTTTCTTTGGGTTTTTTCCCTGGCTAAGGAAAAGCTGATCTCCACTGAAAAAATCTGTTCCTTTATGTTTACTTTTTGAAGTGTGTTGGTTACATCCTTAATCTGGGTTAAACTGACCAGTTTTAATAATAAAAAAGTTTGAATACATTCATATAATGAGCTTAGAGAGAGATAAAGCAGAAAGAAGATAAAGCAGAATTAAAGATACTTCCTGCATACCAGCTAAACATACTGGTCTAGATTTGTATCTCATTTATAGAGCTCCCAGCATGGAGCAGATGTATTGACTTCTGTTGAGTTGCTCAGGCTTTATACAGGTTCAGCTGGGATCAGAACCACTTCCATTTTATCTACCTCTGCCATTATAATAAAAGTTGAGTATCCTGTATAGCTGTAGCAGTATAAAAGCCCTTCAGTGAAATCCCCACAACCTCCTCCAGGTGTAATAAGGGTCTGTGCAAGTTTAAGATGTGCATTTCCCACCATCTTTAATGTCCATAATTGGTACTGCTGACAGAAGTTCTTTTGTGGACTCAGAATTCACATTTGTACAACTCTGGTAAAAGAAAAACGTATTGCAAAGTACAACTACTGCCCTTTAAAGCAAATCTCAGCAAGATTTGAAAAAATGATTTCTTACCTCCTTTAGGGAGTTGTTTCTGAGATAAAAGTAACACTTAAAGAGCAAACTTAAAGCCAGCACTTTCTTACAATTTTGTTGATTTTCCAAGTCCTTTAACCACAGAAACACTGCTGGCTTCCCACCAAGCATGAAAAGCAAATGAACTAAAATCACAGCCCAGGTGTCAGATGTGTCCTTGCTGAGCAGAACGCTGAACCCAGAGCCAAGGAGGCATCTCTTGAGCCCCACTGTGCAGTCCCTGCTTCATTGTGAGCCCAAGGAGATGCTTTAGTGTCACACAGAATGAGTTCCAGATCTACACAGGCCCCCTCAGCACTGGGAGCATCTCTGCTGAGATTTACAAAACCAGCCCTCAGCAGTGAATGGATCTGTGTGGGCAGAAGGATGGTGATGGGAAAAGCCTCTCTGGGCTGCCTGAGTAATAATGCCTGAGTTCTAGAATCCCTTGCCAGCATTTCATGTCAAATCTCAGGTTATTTTTTTTTGTAAAAGAACTATTTCTTTTACCCCTTGGAGCTTGAAATAAGCACTGAACTCAAGTGAATAATTTAATATATTTAGAAAAGTATTTTTTCATCAGAAATGTGTATTTTGGGCTTTTCTTCAGGAATTACAGTCATAGAATCACTGAAAGGTTTGGATTGGAAGAGACCTTAAAAATCATCTTGTTTCAGCCTCTGCCATGGGCAGGCACCCTTTCCACAGGTCCAGGTTGCTCCAAGCCCCATCCAGTCTGCCTCAAAGGCTTTCAGGGACGGAGCAGCCACAGCTTCTCTGGACAGTTCTTTCACTGCATATCACATCGTATCTTTAAAAGACACTACACCACAGAAAATTATCTATTTTTAATTTTAAAAAATTACAAAATAGGAATATCTACTGTAAAATGGGTGAATTAAATCTGAATGAATAGCTTCTTGCAGGTGTCTCTATATCTAAGAATACCCTCTACTTTTGAAAGCCTGTTCTTTTACACATTGCAGACTGAAATAGCTGCTCATCCCTGACACAGCACTAATTTTAGCTGACCTGTTCTCTTTACATTTTGTGCCTTGCCACTGAACTGTAATGCAGCACATTATAGCATTTTAAATTCATTTGATTCCCAATTCTGCCAGGTGGAGCTGTGCGCTTCTATGTTATTTTAAATAGATTTGATTGCATCCCAGTGTCATCTAATGAGTGAAAAAATCAGCGAGAGAAATGCTTCATTGTTAAAAATATCTTGGAAATCCATCTGCAGTGCTAGTGGGTTTTGGAGGCATAGTAGAAATCACGTGTGTGCTTTAACACTGGAAATATCTAATGCAAGCAGTATAATCAGCCTCAGAGTAGTACCCAGAGAATCCCTGAATGGTTAAACCTTTTTCTCTGGCTCTGCAGCTTTGTTCAGGTCACGGGCTCACGCCTTAATTTAGTAACAGATAGTACTGGGAATAGAAACGCCATTAACTCCTTTCCTAAGGCAGGGGATCTATTTCTCAGCGTTACAGCACTCTGGGCTATTTTTAGAGGCAGTGTGTAGGAGTTCTCACGGCTGGAATGTTAATAGGCACAACACACAAAGACAGGGGCTGAGCTCAGAGCTCTGCACAGGAGTCCTGGCAGGAGGAAGGGGTCTCATGTCAGGGAAAGCCAAGGTGCCAGCCAGTGCCAGGAGTGATGCAGCCTGGTAGAGCAGCGCTGGGGACAGAACGGGCTCTCCCTGGAGCTGCTGCAATGATTCTGAGCATCTGACAGCATGAATGGCTCCAGCAATATGATGGGGAGTAAAAAAGGATGATTGATCAGCTATGGAGTGTGTTGATTTTCCTTCTGAGGTTTATCCCAGTGGAGCGTTGGTGTGGCTGTTTCATTAAATCCCCGCGGAGTTCGGAGCTGACACTGGCACCGTGTCCTCACGGAGAGGTGACTCCGTGCTCCAGCTCACACCAGAGATGCACTGAGTTACCAAAACACACAACTTCCAGCTGCTCCTTGGGCTGTGCTCATTATTGCCTGGAACCTGGGAAAACACCAAACTTCCTCATGAGGAAAGTCATCTTCTTTTTTATATTCTCTGCAGAACGAAATGATCAAACGGAACAGGAGGAGAGGAGGGAAATCAAGCAGAGACTGACAAGAAAGGTAAAACCTTGCAATACCTCCTATCAGCTTTTAGAAATTTAGTAAAATTACTATAATATCACCTAGCCATGGAGGTTATTATTACACAGAACCTCCCTTAATATGCATCCTCCTCAGCAGTGTCTGGTAGCAGTGTCTGGTAATATCAATTATAGACATACATATCTCAGCTAGATGAGATTTACTAGAATATTTAGATACAAACTTACTCAGAAAATGGGTATTATGGCATATTTGTCAGCTCCATTGCTGGTAAAGGACTTTTTCATTGTAGCAGAGCTGACTCCCTGCTGAACACCAGGTCTGCTCCCATAGTACATTTCTTTTTGCATTTAAAATATTCTCAGAATAAGGACGAGATCTTGTTGTTCTGTTCTTAGAATCCCTAATGGAATTACAGACCAAACATGCTGATAACTTGTTCAGGCTAGACTGAAATTCTTACAGTAGATCTAGTGCTGAGAATCTCACACAGACAATCTGCCTCTGCCTGTAGTAGAACATCCTCCAGCATCCAGAATTGTCCAGAGATCATAAAAAATCCATCATGATTCCTTTACATGTTGAAAATATATTTTAGCAATATCTGGGTTAAAATATTTTCTACTTTTGTCCATGATAAAGGCACTGTGCTGTAACTCCATTTAAACCATTATTACTCTCCTAGCAGTTCTCCAAATGGTGAAATATTTCCCTGGAGTTTCCAGGGGCTGGATGGTTTTCCATATTTGTAAATGCACACTGAGCCAAGATGAAAAGAAGCAAATATTGAATTTTTTACTGATTCATTTGTTATTAACCCTGGTTTTATTTCACAAAAATTCTGAATACAGCTTAACCAGAGACCTACAGTTGATGAACTGAGAGACAGAAAGATCCTGATTCGATTCAGTGATTATGTGGAAGTGGCAAAAGCACAGGACTACGACAGGAGAGCAGACAAACCATGGACACGACTGTCAGCAGCAGACAAGGTACTGGCAAACCACAAAGTTCTGCTTTCTCCGTGCTTTGTAATGATACATCCCATTCTCAACAGACTTGAACCTCTGCAACATTTCATCTCTGTAAACTTTACCATGATTTTTTATGTTGCAATCATACCAATGTCATAAGAAAGCCTATTTAGTACTTGAAAGGCTTCTACCCACACACCCAGAAAGGTGGATACAATATTTGGGCTCCAAATCAAAACCATTTCCAGCCGATAGAGTATTAACCTTTATTCTCAGACTGGAAGTTTTGTCCCAAACATGCAAAGATTTCCTCTCCTGTTTCCTGTGAATGCTCCAGGAGGCACTGGACCCACATTCTCCCGAGCCTGAGCTCTCATTTTGTCCCATCACATACCTGCCACGCAGCTGATTCACAGCCCAATTTAAGTGTCACATTTAGAGGCTTGAGCAGTAAGAATAGCTCACCATGATTCCAGCCAGAACACTGGGAAGTTTCAGGGCTGCAGGGAGCAGAAGGAGCAGGATGCTGAGACAATGGCTGGAAAATGGCAAACACAGGACTGTTAACGTGGCTTTGTGCTGAGATATCAAACACTTTGGTTTCCATCCCAGTGTCCCCCCAGTAAGGCAAAAATGGGTTTAGAGGACTCACAGAAAAGGAACAGAGCACTTCTGCTCCTGTAGCTGCTCTCCCAAACTCTCTAAAATGGTGAATAAGCTATTCCATAGTAATCAACAGAATAAGGGTTTTATATTTTCCTTGTATGTACTTTTATTACAATTAGACTTTTCCTGGTTGTACTGTGTCAGTGTTCACGTTTCAATTAACAAGGCAGGTTGAAGAAAGTGACAGTTCTGCTCATCCTGGTGGCACACATCAGGAAGTCAGGGTCAGAGCTGTACCTTTGCATTTGTGACTGAAAAATGGATCAATTTCTTGGCAGCTTCTCCTAATCCTTAATAAATTTTAACTGGAATCTTATTAGATGTGAGACAACCAGCTCTGAGGTGTTATTCTGTCAGAATTGCTTCTAGACAGCAGTGACCCTGTCAGCAATCAATATCAAATGAGAAGTATTGTGTCACCAATCCATACAACCCAAACATTCAGCATTTATACCAGCACAGAGTGCTCTGCTATACCCAATCCTTGGTTTTTCTACCCCAGAAAACTGTTCTGCCCCACAGGTCTGGGATTTTAATCACAAACACAACATAATTTGTTCATGTTTTTCTCTTTTTGATTCCTAGGCAGCAATTCGGAAGGAGCTGAATGAATACAAAAGCAATGAAATGGAGGTTCATGCATCGAGCAAACATTTGACAAGGTCAGTTTTCCACCTGTTTATTTCTGCTGCTTCCTAAAAACTCTGCTTGACTCCTGAACCTGTGGATTTCACTCTTACATGCTGGGTGTGGGAGAATAGGCAGAGGGAGGTTAATATTGAAAGAAAATGGGAGCGTTTCTTTTCCTGAAGAGAACCCAATTTTCTGATTTTTTGGAGGGGTTTTATTAGCACATTCCAAGAAACCTGCAGACATTCTCCAGAGCATCCCTCAGCTGGCATTCATTGCACCAAAGATAGGACAAAAAAGAAATAAAGTATGTAACACAGAAAACAATATGAATTTTTTAAAGTAGAACAACTTAATACACTGTTTAAAGATCTCTGAATGAAATGTACTTGAGTCTGCAGCCTTATCACAAACACTGAAAATTCCCTGCTCAGAAATACAGAACTGCACTGACCATAACAGGCCCAGGGGTAATGCCTTTGTTCTAATTGGATTTGTTCTAAAGGATTCAGCCTGGGGATTTCAGTATTCCCTGTCAGTGCAGTTGCTATTGGAAGGAGCCCCAGGTAAATTAATGACACTTAACTCCCTGGCAGGAGGAGGTCAGGAGAGAGAACAGGGCTGGGCTGGTGTCACTCTCCACGTGACTGGAGATTCCACTGGGAGCCTGGTCAGGGCAGTGCCTGCTCCATGTGCCAGCCCTGGTGCCAGGGACTGTGTTCAAACACAGATTAAAACATTCATTTCCCTTCTTCAAGAGGAGGAACAACATGAGAGGCTGATTGCACAGCCACTGGTATTTGCAAAAAGGCATCATGAAAGGCAAAGCAGCTTCACTGCATTGATGGAATGAAGGTGGGAAGGGAAAAGGGGTGGCTGCAGCTTCAGTCTGGCAGTGAGCTACACATTTCCTAATTGGAGCTACCTGGGGATTTTGAGTACATGATAATGAGAGATTTGGAAATTTGTTCAGGATATTAGGAGTAAACAGGCTTCCAATTTACAATTAGTGCTAGGGCATTACATATGATTGGGGTTTTAATTATGGATCTCAGCCAAAAGAACAAGCCTCCAGAGCAAGAAGAATATTTATTCTAGGCTCACAAGACTATCACACATTTCACCAACAGTATCTCCTCATTCTTCACGAAGCATTTCAACATTGCTTAACTCTTAAAAAAAACAAGATCACTGCACAGTGAAGAATATTGCTACCAGTGACAAACTGTGGCTTCATTTACTAAAAGAAAAAACCCACATCAACTACATACCTGGATTTGCAATTGCATTCCCAAAGAAATGCAGACAAGGTACACTGGCCCTGAGGACTGTACCTGCACTGCAGTCGTGGCACAGGGCTGGGAATGTGCTGGGGAAAATTAAGAGTTGCTAATATTCATCAGCACTGTCACTGTACCTTTGAACAAAATCAATACTTCTGTGGGCTTTTAAAAATGTTGGTAATCTAAAATAAAATAATTGAATAAAAAATAATTGAATTCTATTGCAAAGTGGTTTGAAAAATGTCTCTCTTTTCTCCTAGATTTCACAGGCCATAGAAATTTTCTTCTGAGAAGAATCTGTCTTTACTTTTTGATATTGCTGCTGGACACACATCAGGGAACGCTGACGCCTTTCCCTGAGTTCAGTGCAGGCTCCCTGGACGTTGATGTGACAGAAGGACTCTGCAGTGAAGCCTCTGCAGCACTTGGGGACAGGACGCCAGCCCCGAGCTCTGGAGGCAGAAGAGTCTGGCCTGTGGAGTGGGACAAGCTGCTGGAAAAGACTGAATGAAGCTACTTGGGAGAGCCTCCTCCTCTCCTTTCCCACCTGAGTGGAACTGTTTGCAGGCTGCCTTGGAAAAGGAGATGTTGTGCATGTACAGGCTTCACCATTCCAAGGCCTCTGACATAAATGGACATGACACTCTGTCATCCAGTATTACGTTGACAAGACATTTTGAACTTACCACAATTAGTTTGTAAAACACCTGAGTTCATGTTCTAAAAACTAATTTAATGTATTATAATTTCATTCTTTTTTATATACTGTCTAACAGAATCACAGCTGCAAGCATTTTTGATTCCTGTTACTTTTGTTCTTTAATTAAATGACTACTTATTGCAGGAAATGAACATGTTTCCTAAAGCTCTTTTTTTCCCCAGGGATAATTGGGAAGAGATGATAATTATTGTGCACCAAACCATTTGACTTCTTCATCAACACAGGGTCTGCAAAAGGATGATCTCAACTAAGGTTTTCCATAAGCTGGTTGTCACTCTGCACCAGCTGAGGCTCTGACCCTCTAAAAATGACAATTTGGTTCACTGTTATTCCAAATTACTAAATTGGAACAACCAGAGGCAGAAATGTAACAATGTACTTTGATGTTGAGCAAACAAATGGTTTTAATGCTTTCTTGACAGTAAGAAGAAAAAAGTTACTAAATGCTAATAACAAGGCAAATGGAACTGGTTGAGAAAAATGTAAAGCCAGGCATTTTAATAATGCCTGACATGGAGAAGCACCTGAGGAGTTACTCAATGCTACTAAAAAAAAAAAAACTTGTGAGAAAAATAACACATTGATAGCTGGGAATCACATGTGATGAGACAAAAAAGGGTGAATCCACTCACCAGACAAACATTTCTCTGCAAGACTCTGAAGTGCTGCCATTCCAGGCAGTCATGCAATGTTAAAAACTTGAAAAAGGCATTCTTGGTCCTGTAGCTTCATTGAGATGATCTCCATGAAGTGTGAAAATAATAAAATGCAGTTTGTCAAAGTGCTTGTATAGACTACAACTGAATTGCTGTGAGGTGGGGAACAGCCCCCACACAGTGTCAGTTCTGGCAGGCTGGGATGGAATCACAGGAACTGGAGCTGCTCCTGGAGAAACTGCCAGGCAGGAGTGGAAGGTAAGGACACAGTGCAACCCAAAATCTGGGTCAGTGCAGTGGGAGAAGGAACTAAGGACTCCTGGGAGAGGTGGTGTCAACATTTTAATTTGACTATCAGCTGAAGGCTTGAATGACCCCATCACTTGGTCCAAAGATGTGGTTTTTTTCTCTTTATTGTAATTTTTTAACTTGCTGACTTTTCACAGAAATATGCAACATCATAACTAGCCTTTTAACATACACATATCTATCATTTTATTATTAATAATATAGGAGTAATTCTTAACAACAATACAATGATAGTCCAGGTGCAATGTACAAAAGGGCTGAACAGAAAGGAGAGCAAAGTTTCATCAGCAGAAGAAGCATTTTCAGTTTGAGATGAGCCACTGTTAACTACAAACTAAACCTGGCTAATAACCCATGTACAGCATGTCCTGTTTAGCAGGGATGCCCACTTCCACTGGCAATAAATATGATACAAAACACATGAATATTATATTGAAAAACATAATAAAAACAAGTTAGCAAGGCTAACTTAAGAGCAGGTTTTAAATGCCAAACAGTGTCCCTGAGCTGTCACTGCTGCACCTGAAGCTCTGAGTGGCTCCATCCTCTCCGTGCTCTGATCCTTCCTCAGCCAGCCCAGCCTCTGCTCTGCTCCTGGGGAGGCACAGCCTGTGACAGCTCCAGAGCCACGGAGCCCTGGCACTCAGCACTGCTGGGGGGCTGTGGGGCTGTCTGGACACTCCCTGGGCCGTGGATGTGCTCAGCTCCTGCTGGAATTTGGGATCACACCTCAGAGGGCACATTCGGCTCAGGGAGGGAAAGGGAAACAGGCCGGCAGTGCACAGTGCACAATTCCTGGCAGTAACTAAAAACAAGACAGGAGTATTATTTTTCCCACGTGGCCTCATTGTAAGAGAGATTTTGGGCCTTGCAGTGCACTTTTAAAGCCTTGTACAGTTTAGAGAGAAGTCCTGTTTCATTCAGATGAAATTCAATCAGAGCAGTGGAAAGAACAGTTTAACATCTCAAGGAGTCCATCTAGTGGAGATCACAGTGAGCACAGGCCCAAAAAAACCCCAAACCACACCAAAACCGTAAGATCAGAAAACATTTATACACTGGTGTAAATGGGATGAGTGGACCAAATTATTTATTGGAAATTTCAGTGTAATTATTTCCAGAGAGACAGCACAGCCTTGTGGCTTTAAAATTCTGACCCAAAATATTTGCACAGCAGCTTTATCTGACTTCTTACTGATTTAGAGGAAAATAACAATGACATTGAGTAAACAAAACCCCAAACCACACAAAAACCGTAAGATAGAAAACATTTGTACACTGATGTAAATGGGATGAGTGGACCAAATTATTTATTGGAAATTTCAGTGTAATTATTTCCAGAGAGACAGCACAGCCTTGTGGCTTTAAAATTCTGACCCAAAATATTTGCACAGCAGCTTTATCTGACTTCTTACTGATTTAGAGGAAAATAACAATGACATTGAGTAAAAAACCCAACAGACAGCGTCTGGTTTTCTTGACTTGTTTAATAGAATTATTTGCAACAATTCCAACACAAGTGTTGAGAGTGTTCTCAGAAAATCCTACTGAAGTTTAACACCACAGACTAACAGGACTGAGATCAAACCAGGTGGTTTGGTCCCTAAATAATTCCTGGCTTGTATTCTGGATCAGACCCAAAACATAGATTCAAAGTGAAATTCAAAGTGATTTCTCTGAAAGTCAGTTAAGTAATCTGTAAAAATTGTTAATGACTTATGTAAAAGTAGCATCTGCTAAAAATAAAATGGCACATTACATTTTAGCAGACTCAGTAAAATAATTCCAAATCTCACAGGTGAGTGGGTCAGTCTTGTCCACACAGATTTTAATATTATTAAGGAAAATATGCTTTCATTACAGTAGTGTCCTTGAGTGAGACCAAAAAAAAAGTTACCAAATTTTCCATTACAAAAGTGTTTATATTCACCTCAAATTTCAGGAAGGAATCTGAAAAATCACTTCAGAATTCTGCCTTTGATTGAAACAAGGTCTGCAGTCCCCTGCGAACGTTACACAGCTCCTCTTCTTGCTGTACAAAAAAAAATTCATTTATCACTTTTATCACATTTGTCACATGCTTTTGAAAAAAAGCAGATTTTATTTTATGTATTGCAATCCTGGTGCACTGTACATGCTGCTTAGTCTATCAAAGAGGATACTTTCCATCATTAAGACAGAACTAAACGAGTCCATTCACATCTCCCCGTGGCTCCCATCCCTCAGGTAAGGTTTTAAATACAGTAAGTCAGTGACATTTGCATTCTGACTAATTTTTATTTTTGACAGGGCACTAGAAATCAAAACGTTAGTAATTTAGTGTTCAACCTGCAAAATAAATAAAAATGAGGACAAGATAAATTTATTTACCATTTCTTTTAGAAATTTCTCTTGGAGTCCTTTTATGTCTTCTTTCAACAGATGCATCTGCAAAAAGACACTGAATGCATCTCCTCTGCTCACACTACCACCACATTTTCAACAATGACATCCCTAAACGTGACATAACCAAGAGATACAGATGCACCTGCCTATGGAAAAGGATGTTTTAAATTTTTTATTTCTTGGATGAGTAACACCAGAAAACAAAGTCACAGAATCCAAGGTAAGTCCTGATAACTGCACACACTTTGCAATGGGTGAAATCTAGGCATAAACACTGAATATTGTAAAATTAAGGGACATTTTACGGCAAAAGCTAAAAAAACTATTATAGACCATTAATATAACGCTGAGGATAAAATCTTCAGGAAAAAAGTCAATATCTCTATCTGTGGGCACAATTGAGGAATTATTAAAATGAGCAAGAAATTCACTATACCTCTGAAGTAAAAACATTTTCTTCACAGCCAACAGAATGGTAGATATTCTTTTCAAATGAAGTTTTAAGAATCTGAATTCTAAAGAAATAAAGGCAGTTCAAACAGCTTTGCTACATAAGAACTTCCTACAAAGAGCACAAAGACATCCCATTGTTGGGAGTCTATTTGCATTTAAAGCACGGATAAATATCCCCATCATTGTTACTGCTGGAACAGTCCCTCGGCTATGTGGAGAAGTTTAACTGGAGAATAATGACATGAACATTTTAATCTCATTTTCTCATCAACCTTCTCTCTTTTACAGAAGAAGTTGCAGAGAGAAGTTGTGCTGATCTCCCTCCAGTGAGCAGAACACAAATCTCATCCCAGGATTAGTGAACCCTACTGACCTCTGCTGCTCATTTTTCATGAACGTACTAAAAGTGTGGGAATGCTTTTTCCAAAAGGTCTGGAAAGAAAAATATTAAGAGATATTAATCAATGGGAACTGATTTTCCAAACTAAAAGTCATTAATTTCTAATGGGAGCAAAATGACAGCCACAGACTGAGCACAGAAGGGGCAGGAGTTACACAGCCCCTCAGGAGCTGGAAAAACCCAGCCCATTAAAGCACTTGTAGGAGTTTATTGAAGGAGGAAAAACCTACAGGAGTTCATACAGTGGATACATGTAGGAAAACACAGAGTGACCTGCAGATTTTAAGAGAACCCTGACATCCCAAATGCATCATCTGAAATTTGACCCAACTAGAAGTAAAAATGTACAGGTTTTGAAAATCAAAATTAATGATATTAAATTAAAGATGATGTGAATGATCTACAGATTCCAAAGAATTCCCTTTTGCCCATGATCAAACAACTAAAATACAAACCGAGAATTCTTTTTCCATGATTTTCAGGGACTGAGAATCCTTTTCAAACTTCTCAAGCTCCTCAGTGAGAGTAAAATGAAATTTGTCCAGCTGCCTGATCCTACCAAAACAAACCAGGTTACTTGCAGAAGGTATTCACTGCATTTTAAGGGTATTATAACAGAAATCTGCCATTACTGACCTGCATTCATGGAGCTGGCAACTCATTGTGGCCAAGTGCTGATGGGCAGCTCTCAGTGTTTGCTTATTAAAATTATCCATTTTCCGGGAGCGGTTCTAAGAGGATGTTTTAACATGAAATTCAGATTATTTGCACTTTAGAAAAACCAAACCCAAACCCTGTAATATGCTCAGTACTGTAACTGCTCAGTATCACAGCAAACCCCTTTAGAAAATGTAATGGTGTGGTGCAAGCCAAGCTGTCACCCATGTGCTCATGTACTCCCCCCCAAGTGATGCACACAGAGGGTCTTGCCTCCATTTTCTTGGTAAATTCTTTCTGGAGCTGCTGACAAATGCTGATGGTTGAGCAATCAGGCTTCCAGAACTCCCCATCCAAACCAGACAGGTCATTTACAGATTGAGTGGAGGCACTTTCAGACACTGAAGAGAACAAAAGAATGTCAAATTCAGTATTATAAAGTCCCCAGTCTGAAGTTAGCACAGGGCCTAGGACAGCTTTTGTTCTATATAAATTAATGTCACCAATTAGATTAGAAACCAATTTCTATTTGCATATCAATTTTCTGACTTTTTATATGGATCCAGTCTCTAAATATCTAGCATTTTTATTCTTTGCTTTAACACCTAAAATGCCTTTTTAGGGATATTCTATTTCCTTGTTAAAACTTGAATTTGTCACTTTATTTTAGAACTATGCACTGTCAGTCCATGACCAACCTCTGCAAGCAGCAGCATCATCTCTTTTAAATAATTTTTTGGGCTGTAAACTTATTCTTCTCCTTCCTTTCTTCTCCTCCTCTTTGCTTGTTTCTGCCTCATCAGAGCTGCCTTCTGTGGCACTGTGGTAAGTTCGTTTGAGGAATGCTGGCACACTTGGTCCTTCAATAAACATGGAAACAATGCTGAATTTTAGCATTATTTAGAACAATGAGATGAGAGG